GTATTAATAAGGGGTCATGCTAAAAGAGAAGTCGAACACCATGTATGTCAATCATCACCCAGCAGTGGGAAACAACCGGTCCATGCCAATGCTTCTCCCTCATGTTCATCTCTCTGCACCTTGTGGAAGTTCCCCCTGGAGATCTTCCTGTGTTTGTGTGTGTGCCCATGAGAAGGAGATTAGGAAACCCAAGGTCTGCTACTGCTTATTCCCCTTTTGTGGTTATTGATGCTGCTTTCCCAGCGCAGGCTGTGACATGCTCCTGAATTCAAGGGACTGAGGCAGAGGACTCCAGCTAATCCTTTTGCTGCATTTAGTAAACAATGAGCTTGTCACGCTTTCAGTGCTTTCTTGAAAAAAATAAGGACACAATCTTGGTGCAAAACCAAGTCTGGCTAGAGGGAGACCAAAGGTGTGGATCTGGATTTGGAAATGTAGCATTGACACTTCATTCAGAAAGAGGAGTTGATGTTGGTCTGAAATCTGGACAAGAGAAACTGCCCTCTTCTTATGCTCTCGGAAAACAGAAAGTTTATTTCTTCCTGGAAAGAAAGTAATTTTTAAAAAGGGTTCTCTTAGACACTAGAATATCAGAGACAGATCCCGTGCTGATGTAAATCAGTATATCTTTTTGGACACCACTGTAGTGGTGCCAATTACAGAACTAAGGATACAACCATCATATAGAGAAATAGCGTGCATACATTGTCACATGCATAAATGTTTATACACCCATATGCATTTCCACAACACATACTTGGAATGTTCTTCAAATGTCTTAAAAAAAGACATTTAACTGAGCCTCGCCTCAGTTATGGCTGGAGTTAATCAGCAGTGACTTCCTTTAAGTGAGATTACACCAGTGAAACAAGTGTTGCGCCCACCAAAGTCCACACCACGCAGAGGTTGCAGGATCAGCCCCCAATGTACGTTTCACGCCATGCTGGCATATGTGCTAGGGTCAAAGTGTTTCTTTTGCTGCACATTTTCCAGAGTCCAAACTATATCTTTATACAACCTAATAAAACTAATGAGGTTTCCTCCCAAGTTCTGAGGCCAACAAAATGTTTCTGTCTTCTCTTCACAAGCGACAGCGTCAAGATCTTGGTTTTCAACTCAAACCTTCGGATATGTGCACCAAAGTACCCAAGTTCATCTTCACCATTCAGATGGTGCCTGTGTGCCCCAGCTCCCAGTGTTTGGCTGAATAAGATTGCCCCATTTCTGCTATGACAAGGGGTTAGAGATGCCCAGCCACGTCACTGGCCAAAGGTGGGTTATGCCTGTCACTTGCACCCTAAGCCTCTCCTCAAGAGTGCAGCAGTCAGACCTGGCCCACAGAGAATAATGTCAGTGTTCACACCTGAGCCTCCTGAGTATCTTTTTTCTTCTCTCCATACCCTGCCCCTTGACCTGCAGTTTTAAGCTTTGGGGTGTTCAGTTCTTTCTGTTGCTGGGGGGGACAGTGACTCACCATTTGGATGAGCATCCTGAAAAAGTCATGTTAAGGCTCTATCAAAATAATGAAATTCAGACAAATAGCTCTTTCTCAATATTTGCAACTGCTCAGGTCTTCATTTGGCTTTGTCACCACTTGGCATTTGGCAGACTTCAGAAAACATTGCATTACCCTGTGTCAGTGTCTGAGGACATTGGGGTCTGGATTAGCGGTACTGACACTTTGCAAAGTGCAGTATGAGAAAAACAAAATGCGTAAGCAGTTTCTTCATTCTAAGAAAAAGCACAATTATTACGTGAATTTGTTAGATGTCTTTAGCTTTTTTAAAAAAAAAAGCAAGCAAGCAAATGAGTTTATATTGGTAACTCACATGCAGCCTTTCAACGACCAGAAGAGAATGAAGGATTATCCATAGGGACAGTGGAGCATTTGGACTTGTGTGATGCTGGCGTGTCAAGCTAGATATTAATAGTAACACAAGTGAGGTTTTAAATAGACCCTAGCAAATGCAAATCTAGCTATTTTTAAAGTCATGTACAGAATAGGAATCACAAATTAAATCAAGTATTACAGCAAATATTGAATTCCAACAACAGTTAAAAGGTCAGTGTCTTACTATAGTGACACCATACAATTTTGTGACTTCAACACAGCTGTAGTAAACCTGAAACCAGCACTAAAACTGTAAGAGTGTGTATATCTGGAACCAATGAAACCTGAGACAAACACTGATACAGATGAAAAGGGTATTGTGGTAGTGCACACTCGTGTGTTTGCTAACTTTGTGTGCCTCGTTAACCAGGGGCAAACAGATATCCACATACTTGGGCTGCCCAAAATATATTGTTCTCATAGAACACAATCCCAGTCTCCAGAACCGACTCCTCTAATAGGGCAGCATTCTTCCATGGAGTTATGTGGAGGCGAAAGCACGCTGCCCTTCGCTGGGCATTGACCACCACCCCCACCCACCCATGGCTAGGCTTCGCGAACGAAGATTTAGGAAGGGCTCTACCCACGTTTCTTGCAAGCGCGTTGGTGGCTAAAAAGGCCAATACGAGAAAGGCAAGTCCGGTTGCAAAAGATACAGCAGAAAGACTCCTTAGATGGTATATTCTGCAAGGCTCGATTCTTTCTGCGTTGTCTTTTCTCCTCAAGAGAGATCCTGCGTGCTTTCTCAAAAGCATCAGCAGCGTTATAAATGGTGTGTCTCCAGGCCTCTCGATTAGAGGCCAGAGTAGACCAGTTATGGTGATCAATATGCCCGAGGCTGAGTTGTTGCTTCAGGGAGTCCTTGTATCTTTTCTTCGGGGCTCCTCGCTTGCGGCAGCCACTGGCAAGTTCACCATAAAGCAGGATCTTAGGGAGGCGGTGGTCCTTCATCCTGGAGACGTGCCCTGCCCATCGCAGTTGCGTTCTCAGTAGCATGGCCTCAATACTTGTGATTGCTGCCTGTTCAAGAACAGATGTGTTGGTCACATAATCTGACCAGCGGATGTTCAGGATTGTACGGAGGCAACGTTGATGGAAGCGTTCTAGGAGACGCAGGTGGTGGCGGTAGATGACCCATGATTCGGAACCATATAAAAGGGTAGACAGCACAATGGCTCTGTAAACACTGATCTTGGTGCTTTTCTTCAGGTGTTTATTACGCCAGACTCTTTTATGGAGTTTTCCAAAAGCACTATATGCCTTCGCTAACCTATTGTCTATCTCCCCGTCAATCTTACCATCTGAGGAGATGAGGCTGCCTAGGTAATTAAACTGTTGGACTGATTTGAGTTCTGATTGGCCGATGGTGATGTGGGGGTGATGGAGGACTTCCTGAGGTGCAGGTTGATGGAGAACTTCCGTCTTCTTTAAGCTGACTTCCAGCCCAAAGAACTCAGCAGCATCTGCAAAGCAGGATGTTAAACGCTGCAGAGCTGCTTCTGTGTGGGCGACAAGGGCAGCGTCATCAGCATATAGTAGCTCCCGGACAAGATGGTTTAGGGTCTTAGTGTGGGCCTTCAGACGCCTTAAGTTGAATAGGCTTCCATCAGTACGATATCGAATGTAGATACCATCCTGATCATCGAGGTCTGCCGTGGCCCTTTGGAGCATCATGCTGAAAAAGACTGTGAATAAGGTAGGAGCGAGAACGCAGCCTTGTTTCACACCATTCTTTATTAGAAAGGGCTCAGAAAGTGTGTTGCCATATCTGACTTGGCCGTGCTGATCCTCATGAAGTGAGATGATCATTTTAAGGAACTTGGGGGGACAACCTAAACGTTCCAAAATCTGCCACAGACCTTTTCTGCTCACAGTATCGAAAGCCTTGGTGAGGTCAACAAAGGTTACATAGAGACCTTTGTTCTGTTCCCTACACTTCTCTTGCAGTTGTCTGAGAACAAATATCATGTCTGTGGTGCTCCTGTTGGCTCTGAAGCCACACTGACTTTCAGGTAGAATTTCTTCTGCTATAGCGGGTATTAGTCTGTTCAGGAGTATTCTTGCTAAGATTTTGCCAGCAATGGAGAGCAGAGTAATACCACGGTAATTTGAGCAGTCTGATTTAGTACCTTTCTTCTTATACAAGGTGATGATGACTGCATCTCGAAGGTCTGAGGGTAGTTCGCCTAGTTCCCAACAGCGCACCACAAGCTCATGAAATTTAGCATGGAGTGCAAGGCCCTCATGTTTCCAGATTTCAGGTGGAATTCCATCAACCCCAGCTGCCTTGCCAATTTTCACCTGCTGTATGGCCTTGAGGGTTTCTCCTAAAGTGGGGGCAGTATCCAATTCGTGTTTCACCGGTCGTTGTGTGATGGACTGAATTGCTGAGTCTTGGACTACACGGTTGGTACTGAAAAGAGTCTGAAAGTGTTCAGACCATCTATTCAGAATGGAGGTTTTATCTGTCAGAAGCGTTTGACCATCTGCACTAAGTAGTGGGCTAAGGACTTGGTATGTAGGCCCGTATTGACACTGGAGTTTAAAAAGCTCATTGTCGGTGGCCTTTAAAAATAGGAAGCCCGGAAGCGAGCACCCTTTTTCAGGGGGCTGGGAGAACGCGGCACTGCCGGGGGGACCCCTGGGGCTCGAAATCCGCCCTGAGGAATGCCACCGGTCAAAAATACTCGGCTGGCCCCTGCGTGAACTCAGCGGGGCCATCAAAACCATTAGACAAAAATAAGGTTTTACTGCTTTTCGCTGCCCGGATCCCCGCGGAGCCCCCACGGGGGCCTGTGGCAGCAGTGCCAGCCCCCGCCGCCAGGGGCGCCCCGCCCGCCGCGCTCACGTGACCGCCGCCCGGCGCCCGCCGGGACCTGGAGGCGTGGTGGGCGCGCACGCGCCTGCGCCTGCGCGTGAGGGGGCCGCGGCTCCGCCCCCTCCCCGCGCCCGGGCATGCGCGGGGCGGCTCGCGGGTACGTTGCGGCCCCTCGGGGGGAGCGGGGCTGGGAGCAGGGAACATGGCGGCCCCGAGGGGTTCGCGCGGCGCGGGTACCGCTCACCGCCGCCTGTGGGAGCGGGGCACGGCCCTCCCGGGCGCTGTGGCCGGCCCTGTGCAGCTATGAGGGACTTACCGCGTGTCTAGATACAGATGCACGTGTGTGCGTATGTGTGTGTCTGTGCGCCTGTGTACGCGCACACAGGTGTACGCGCAGTGCTCGGCGTCCGCACGCCCTCATACGGGGAAGTCGGAGTGTGCCAGCAGAAACGCCTCTGGTTCTCTGGTGCTTTGTGTGTTTCCTGGCTCTGCTGTCCCTGCAAGAGCCGGGGGGTTGCTGTTCCCTGCCGGATGTAGGTGCGGCGTTCTGCGGTGAAGTGATTACCTCTGGAGAGTTATGTGGGTGTCGAGCGCAGGGGAGCTGCTAGGATGGAAATGTGATGCTTGCCATAGGAAGGAGAGGCTGTAATTGTAATTGGTTTGAACACAGAATGTTTTGCTGAGTAACAGTCTGTCCCCTTGCTGTGTTTGTCTAGTGACAGTGGCAAGTCTCTGTCACTGTGCAGTGTCTTCGGTTTTCAAAAGAAATAAAAATTAATTTTGAAGGAGTGCAGCACGTTCACACTTCTTTTTTTCCCCCCAAAAATGGCTTCAGTGCCTTAAAAATTACGTTTCTCTAAGGTGCTGCCATAGTTACATCATAAGATACCTCTTTAATTTTTTTCTGTTTGTGTATTTGAGAACAGTTTGTGTACACATACTCGTACTGCTATTTTTTTTCTTTTACATTAGATTCAGTTTGATTCCCTACTTTTATGCAGTTGTGTTTTCACAAAATTTTTACTTGGAAACTATTGACTCGTTGCAGATGTGGCAGGCAGCGTTTTAGACTATCTGAATGCAGGTTATAATCTCTCTAGTATTTTCTATGTTACTGTTTGCAGAGGAACTAACATAGCTTTAAACAAACAAAAAAGGCCTCTTATTTATTATTTTTCTTTATTCAGGTTTACGGTAGGTGTTGAATGATACTTGTTCTAATTGAGCTTCTCATTAATAACACTCATACAATTGTTTTGTTTCCTAGAGAATTGGTGAGCAGAAAGCTTTCTTTTAATGAAATATTTAGTTCATGCTAAGAAACAAGTCAGAAAACCCGGCCAAAAGCTAATGTCATCCGAAACACCAACAGACTGTCCAGAGGTGCCAATGGAAAATACCCTTTTCCCTGAAGTTCCTGATGTGGAAGGAAAGGTGAAGTCAAATGACAGTCCGGTAGAGAGACGGGAGGCAGGCTCAGACAAGGAAGAGTGCTCTGAGCCCATGTCCAAAAGACAAAGGAAGAAGTTATTAAAGCAGAAACAGTGGGAGGAACAAAAAGATCTGCGGAGGTATGGTTTGCAAAATAGCTTTCCTAGGTTCACATGTAATATTTAGTGCTAATAATAATGATGTGTCATCAGAATTTTCTTGTAAATGGCTTTAGCAAATCAAGGCAGTTGAACCAGTTTTCTCCCACACCAGGTTTAAAGCAGTAGCTGCAGGCTACTCCATCTACACTTGAAGAGGCTGTACAGGTAAGCATCCCCTTTTCCTATTAGAAGTGTTCCTCAGCTTGGAGATGTCAGGAGGTATTCAAACATGCACGGTTTTGATTTGTCAGAGGGAGGGATAACCTGTGGCCTTGTTCCCTTCTGCGTGGGCTGCACCCTCTTTCCCAGGTGGTGTCACACTTGGTGAATCTTACTAAGACAGTGCACAAAAGCAAATACTTTTGACACGTGAAATGCAGTCCTGTAAATTATGTTGATTTACAATCCGTTAGAATAGTTTTGAAAGACGATGATCTGTTGTTCCGTTGTGTTGAGAGAAAGTGTATCTGCAAATGAACTGATGGTAGTTTATCCTTGTCCTGCTGACTGCAAGGTGTTCCTTCCCATGACAGCGGCTGTTGCTGTCTCTGAAATGTGATCTCCCGACTGCCCGCTCCCATCAGGGGACTGGGAAGGAACTTTTTGAAAAACTGTTCAGTGAACGAGGATGTAAATTGCCTTCCATGTTTTGATTCCAATACTGTGATTTTTGTCAATCTTTTTGTTAATTCTGTTATGAGACTTGACTCAGAGCATGGACTCCTTAAATCCGTGAGACTTCCAGTAGTGAGTTCATTGAATTTGTGTCAGATGCCTGTCTTTGTAGGTACCTACAGAACTTCACAAAGATGGAAGTGTGTTTCGTGCTGGTCTCAGCCTAGCACAAATGCAGGCAACATTTAACAAGTTTAAACTATGCAGTCACGGGACAACCACCTTGATCCTAGAAGTCTGCATTTGCGTGCATAGCATGCACCTCAGCAGATTTGGCAGCACTTTTTGAGGATCAATTTGTTTGTTTCTTTAGGCAGAAACGAAAAGAAAAACGCCAGAAGAGAAAACTAGAACGTCAGTCAAAATTGGATTCCAGTAATGAAGGGAATGACAGAAAGTGCATGCGCAGGGAAGTTGTTCCTAGCACACTTCGCCTCATTGTGGACTGCAGCTTTGATGACCTGATGGTGTTAAAGGTAAAAGGAACTTACCCATCATTGAGAGGTTCTCCAGTGACGGTTCTGATGCAATGTCAGAGCGCAAAAACTGGAGAGCTGCTTGCAGGGCACAGTTAGCAGGCTTCACATTGTGGTGGCTCCCAGACCTGCTCATGTCAGTTGCTGAATTTTTTAGGCTTTGGGCCATACTTTATATAAGTTTGCCAGAGATTCTGTTTGCCTTCATGGGGATGCAGTAAGTTGATTTGATTCCAAAAGCAGAAATACAGAAACAGTTTATGCCAGGTGTTCACCATGACATTGGATGCAGTTCTACCTCAAAATGGTTTTGCTAAAAGGGCTGCAAATGCCACATGCAGTTGCTTTCTCTTTCAAAGTGGTAGTGAGGATCCCAACCCTCTTAGTAAGTGTCTGTGGAAATTAAGGTTTTGAGTATTGTGAGGATACTGGGCTTGTTCTCACAGTCACACAAGAGGTAATTGGGACAGGAGGACACTCTTCAGCCCATCTCTAAAGTTATCTTAGATAAAGATGAAAGAACAGGTGCAATGATCAGCAGGATAGATAAATATGGGAAAGATCAACGGGATACCCAGCCACAGGTCAAGATGCTTGGTGTGGTGTTTTGAGAAGAAAGCAGCTCTTAACTATACTAGGAAAATACTAGGAAAGTTAATCGGCAGCCTCCTGTAAGAGTGCAGCCTTTGGTTTCTGAGGCAGACGTCGTGACACCTGTGCCCGAGCCCTTCTGCTGCCGCCGGGACTTCACTGCCCTGTAAGAGCTTGAATTCCAGCTTTTGCACAGCCTGTGTGGCTGCTTGGGAAGTGTAATGCAGAGCATGTGTAGCGCTAATGGAGCTGATGGTGAGTGCCACTCACCACAGAATTTTGGGGAAGCTCCAGTTGGCATTTTGGAACTTTGTTCCTTGAGGAGCCTTTCAGCAGTGCCCCAGAAGAGAGCTGGGGACCCCCTTGATAGTTTCAGAGATGCTGACCAGATGTTTCCTGCTGGCTTCATCCTTTGTAAAACACATTTCCTTCCTTGGTCAGGCAGAGCACCATTAGGCCTGATATAAAAACTGGCACTTCTGCAGATTTTAAGGAAGGGTGAAGCACTGTAGGTGACAATGGTTGTGGTCTTTATCAGTAAGGTAAATTACAGGCTTTCTCTAGTGTCTGTAAAACTTGGGTTGCAATATTTTCACAGGTCTAGTTTATTTGAAATCCTTTGAAGATATAAAAATATCAAAGCATTATAATGATGTTTCTTTCTAAAATAGGAATCGATTACATTTATAAAACACTGCTTTTGAGACACTGAGAATAAAACTGTGTACCTTACAAAAGCCATAATTGGCTCAAAAATAAGTCTGCTGCATTTTAAATAATAATAGTTTAACTGTTGTCCAATTTGTCAGTCAAAATGCTGGAGCCAGACACTAGGTTATTTGCATTGTTCTGGGGTTCTTCAGGTTAATTCTGCATAATTAATTTTCTTAAATATAAACTGTATGTTCTCAAGATTTTCCCATGGGTTAAAGACTGAGTATTGTCACAGTGATAGATCTGTTTGATTCCTCAGATTAATTTTGTCTGTTATAACATATAATTAAATACCTGTGATGTTTGTTTTGGGCTTTTTTCCTAGAATAATGCAAATCACATATACAGAGGTGTCTAAGTACACTTGTATGGGAAGATGTGTGTGTTTTCTTGCCAACATAATCCCTGCACAGTGGCTGTTTTTTCACTCAGGATCTGATGTCCGCACTCTCTCAGTAGTCACTTTTGCCAGTTAAAAGCTTCCTTTTTCTCTCTTTAGCTTCTGACTGGCTCATGGTAAAGCATTTTGTGATGGTCTGTATGAAGGACTAAGTAAAAACAAATTATGTTGTGTACAGGATGTTAAGAAGCTTCACAAGCAGATTCAGAGATGTTATGCAGAAAACCGCAAGGCATTTCATCCTGTGCAGGTATGTTTAAACAAACTGACTGCTGCCATTTACCAAACATATGAGAAGTAGTGAGAACTGTAGTAGAAAAAAATTATTTGAGCTGCCTCTTTTTAATAAGAAAATTACTTCTATTTTAACAGATTAAATTCCAACCCATGTAATAAAAATCCCCATATATATGAATAAGTATGTGTGTGCGGGTGAAGATACTGGTGTGTGCCTCTAAGATCCTGTTGATACTCAGTTTTATCTGTGTCAGATTAAAAAAAAAAAGTGAGTTCAAATGCGTACTTGTCTTTTAAATGTATCACTAACTGTATGAATATGGTCCTAGTATCACTTCCATCTAAAAAATATTAAAAGCTTTAGCTGATAGTTAAGAGTAGAAAAAGTCTTATATAGTTAAGGGTAGAAAGAGAGGAAATAGATTGTGGCATATTAACATTTCTGTGTTTTGTATCTCTTTTTTGTTCTGTTTGAAGTTTTACTTGACCAGCCATGGAGGACAGCTGAAGAGCAACATGAATGAAAATGACAAAGGATGGGTGAACTGGAAGGTGAATAATTTAAGTATTTCAGTAAAAAAGGAAAACAAAGTCTTGATTGTAGTTGCTAACTAGATTGTTAGTTGTGAAGGACGTGTGCTTTTTCCAAGTGGGTTTTTCTAACACATGGGAGCAATGGCGTATTGGAAATAGTGTAGCTCTTTCTGCTTTTTAATTGATTTAATTTGCATAAGCCAAAGACTGCTTATCTTGACTCTAGATTTGATTTTTGCTTGGAAAACTACAGACACATCTGTTTTCACCTGCTTTTATTGAACAAATTTCATTCCCTTATAGACAAAGCAAGGCTGCTTGATTTAGGCAGTTCTGACAGTCATCTGCCTTGACATGCTCTTTTTTTCTTGGCCAGAATAATACTTTGATTATCATTATGTGATTCTCTTGTGTACACCTTTGCTTTCATCACATTGCCTCTCAGTATTGAAGTGTTCTTTAGAGAGGAAGCTTGTCTAATGGTCAAACTCACGTTGGTTTTCCTTGTAACTCCCTGTTAAACCACTATTTCAACAACATCAAAGGAAGAGCACTTTGCATAAATAAAACCAGACCTATTTTCAGCATTTCTTGTGCAATAGGTGCTTTGCAGCAGCATAGCATAAACCTCTCTTAACGAACAGTTAATGTTAACTAAGCATTTACTTCTGATTTCACTTTTTTTGGAAAGGTGAACTGGAAAATTACTTGGATCTTTAGGAGGATTATGCTGACATTTGAAGGGAATCACAAGAACTTTAGGGATTTGTAAGGTTCTTTGGAGGTTTCAGAAAATTTCCTGTTGATTTTTACAAGTCAGTGCCATAGAGACTGGATTGTTTTTGCAGAAACCAGTGTGCAGTGTGATACACCCTTAAACATGAATGAGGGACGTGGAATGACCACAATTCTATTGGATTTATTTTTGCTGGTCCCATCTTGGGTCTGTAAAGCTTGGCCAGCAATTCATCTGTTGAGTGTAACTTCTTTTAACTACCTTTTTTTGAGGACATCCAAATTAGAACAGAGCACTACAGTGAGCTAATAAAGAAAGAAGACCTAGTATATCTTACCTCAGATTCCCCAGATGTTCTCAAAGAACTTGATGAGAAGAAAGCCTATGTGATTGGAGGACTGGTGGATCACAATCACCACAAGGTAAACCGTGAATCTGTTTCTTTATAGCTTTTTTCTGTTTTAGCACCTTATTTGACATAAATACTGTTTGTTTCTAAACTAACAAAATAAATAATAAGAAAACTTCTTCAAAAAAAGACCTAAAAAAATTTTAGAAGAAATGTGAAAAAAAAGCTTTTGTGGTAGCAGTGGCTTGTGTTCCAGAATGCAAGCATGCTGAGCTTTTTTAGATTTTATCTTTTCATTTTAAATATAGGAATGGAATTAATAACACTGCTCAGCTTCCTGAGAGCCATAGTTTCAGACAGAAGGGTTTGGTTTCCATTAATGCACTTGCAAGTGTACGTGCATGCTTGGATGCCCACATGCCCAAATATAGATGAACAGCAGCACTTGCATCTTGGGTGTCCTTTTTTAATAAGTTTGCTTCTCAGGAGAACTTGGCTGAGTAATACACATGCTTCAGGGATCTAGTTCCATACCTGTACAGGGGATTGTGCTGTTGGGACCCGGAATATCTAAGAGAATGCAGCTGGGAAATTGAAGCGCTGTTACTACTTTAATATTTTGGTGGGATGCTAAAAAAAGGGATGTCTCTTTGACTGTACCAAATGATACTTCAGCAGTTAGTCCACAGTGAAAGGCTAGGAGGGAGCTGAAGCAGATCCTTTACATAGACACTGTGATATAAAGTGTTTACACAATTTTAAAGACTTTTTTTGCCCACCTCGGGCACAGGAGTTTTCAGGTATAAGAAAGAAGCAAAATTTATTTATCGTTTACTCTTCCTCTACAAAAATACACAGTGACTGCAATGTGAGTAACGTACTTAAGCATAAGCTCGCCTTTAAAACAGCCTGTGGCTGACTTGTTCTAGAGCTGCAGCTGCATGAAGTTTTATTTACAATCCTTTAGACCATTGGTCACAGTGTGACATATGCACAAAGTAGTGAGTTTTCCAAAAGGTAGCCCTTTTGAGGCAGGTACTGTCTAACCAGGGTAAGTTTCTTTTTGCAACTGTCTTCTAAAACAAGATCATGGCAGCACCAGCAAAACTCTTGCCAGAAAATTATACTTGTAATAAATCTGCATGGGCTGATCCAAAATGGTGATTCTGAATGCACTCAATTCCCACAGGGAATAACTTACAAAAAAGCTGTAGAGCAAGGCATTGGTCATGCGCAGCTCCCACTCAGAAACTTTGTCAAGATGAACAGTCGGAAAGTGTTAGCTGTCAATCATGGTAAGTTTTAAATCATAAAATAATGACATTGTTGTAGAATATACCTGTGATATTTACAGTTTGAACCCTCAAATTGTGCACTGTAATGCAGGTACCTCAGCCTTGTTTTATTATGTTGATACTGCCTTTGGGATACAGTAATTGCCCTGACAGGCTTAATGTATAAGTGTTGGAAATTGTTCCATGTATTTTATGTCAGAAGAGGATACATGTTTGTAATGTTTTCACCTCCTTAGACAGCTTTGTTCAGCAGCAACTGCCTCGGTACCTACAGACTCACCACAGCTGGTATCAGCGGTACTCAGTCTGCTGAGCTTTCATAACTTATTTTTACCTGGTCTCCTGGTTCTGATTGAAGCATTCAATTGCTTAACCAAGTCTTGAATCCCACTCCTTTTAAACTTCCAGTTTTATTACTAGATCATCTTTCAGTGTCAATAAACAAAAATACATGTAAAATGGAGCCTACTCAGATCTTTGTGGAAATTTTTGACATGGTGTCAAAGGCTTTTTTGTGCCCCACTGCACATTATTTTATTTTATCTTACCTTGCTTTTTTCCAAGTTGGTTTTTTTTTATGTAACACATTGCTCAATGATACCTTTGTTTTCTTAAAGTGCCGTTGATTGGTGAAGTGTTTTTTTCCATGATAATAAAGAGTACTTAAATGTGGAGGAGACTATAGTATGTCACTGGACTTAAAAATTATCAAACCCCATATATTTGTAAGATTTTACATGTTTCTAAAACTTGATCTTTAACTGTTGCTTTATATAGAAAGAAAAAAGCTAATTATAGGAGTTTTTAGGAAGACTTTGGGCTGTCTGTGTGTTAGGGAGGGGTCAAAATCTTTGTTAAAGTGTATCCACAGCAGTGTTCCTGTCAAACATGGGGAAGCATTGGTGCCTGTATAGAAGGCACTGGTGAGACCTGAAGTATTGGGGGGGGGCATTTCTCTGTCTCTGAGAGAAATGACTTGAAAACTGGAGCTACTGCAGAAAAGCAGTGCTGTAGGTACTGTCACGCAACTGGAGACTCAGATCACACTTGGCTTTAGGCTGCAGCAGTAGCAGAATTGCCTTGTATGTCCCTGGCTGCACTTCATCAGCTCCACTGTGAAGATGCCACAACAGAATGCAGCTAAGCCTCTGTAAAGGATGGATTTGGGGGTGTGTTCCTATCAGCAGTTCATTTATCTCCCTATAAGAGAGCTGATGGGTTTTCTTGATGTTGCAGTGTTTGAGATCATCCTTGCATACCTGGAGAAGAGAGACTGGAAGGAGGCCTTTTTCAGTGTCCTGCCACAGAGGAAAGGGGCTGTTCCTCTGGGAGAAGCCAATGATTCATCCAAACATGCTCTGTCTGGAAAAGAAGATGAAGATAATGACTCGGACAGTGACTAAGCTTTAGAAGGAGATGATGGGAAAGATGCGACACAATTCATGGGATAAATCTGGGACATGAAGTAGTTACACTCCAAAGACCATCTGCTGTCTTTGTAATACTGAATTGTCTCAGTGCTCGGTAGTTCCATAGTTTGCCTAAAGCTGTTGTGTACATGAAGGGTAAAGTTAAATACAGTTTTTTTACCCTGAAACTTCAATATTATTAGCTTTAAAAAAAAAAAAAGAAATTCATGGCAAATGCAGCATTTATTTTTCCCGAGGAAGCTGTTTAATTTAATTTTTTAATATTATTTTTTATACATACAAATTTGAGTGTAATAGCCAAGAGCATCAGTAGTTACTATTTTAATGTATGCATTCTTCTCCATTTCTACTCTAAATTTTCTTAAAAGCAATTAATGACAAGCATTCCTGTGACTCCAAAACCTGCACCACTAGTGCCTGTTGCAAAGTGTGCATGAACACTCAAAACAAACAAACAAACATTCTAATTTTCCTGAACTTCTCAACACACAGTTGCAATCAACTGAACTTCCCAGTTTGTACGTTGTGTTTAGTTAGGTGGGGTCAATAGATGAAATATGAGTGTGGGGTTAAGGCAGTGCTTACACTTGAGCTTGAGTGGGATGGGTGTCAGCACAGGTGCAAATCATGTGCCTTGGTTGGCACATGGTGCATGTTGAGTTGAGGAGACACAATGACCTTTAATTATTTCTTCATCTCCTTAGCAAAATTTATCACACAGCCTCAGAACAATCCCAGGATACAGGAACTCTTCCTTACAAGTCACTCAGATTCAGTATTCCTGTTTAGTCACATGATCCCGTTCGTAATGTATTGTCTGTCAAATATTTTTCCTTTAAAAAAGAAGTCATAATCTTAGTCTTGGCTGGATGTTCTGATTCAGCTTATTTCTAACTGACTTAAGTGCTTCTGCAAAGTAGTGAAGTGGACACCTTGGAAGTGAGACTTCACTTTAGCCCCATGAGCTTGCCCCAATCCTTTTTTCTGCAGGGATTAGCCAGGTAGCTGCAGTGCCTGAATAAGTACAGCTTTCGCACTGGTTGGCTGAAGAGCATGAGGACATGGCATCCTAACTGGTCTGGTATGTTGCTCACTGGTGGCTCAGGCCATAGTTGGTGTTGATGCTGTTTACCTGTTCTCTGTCTGTGCTAACCCAATCAGGTCATACGAGGCTGGAGTTCATGCCTCTTTTCACGAACTGGATGCTGTCCGTGGGATGTGTTCACTGGTGAGTAGAGTGGGATTTCGATGGGCATGGCCCTCTGACTACCACTGCCATCCTCAGCCTTTCATATACTACAGTTTTTCAGCTGTCTAAAAAAGGCTGTTCTTGGCAGAGCTGGACTCACACTGAAGAAGTTTCTAACCCTTTCCTAAATGCTGTAGGTGCTCAACTGTTCACTGGTGGAATCAGCAGCACTAGGCACGACTATACTACAGTGGTGATTTGCTTTCAGTCAGCAGGCTGCAGCTGTGCAGAAGTCCTCTGTGGAGAAGTGATGGCTCAAGAAGCCCTAAAGCCTCATTCTTGCAATGAGTTCGATATAAAGTTACTGATGAGAACAGTTGAATTGGTTGTAGCACATGAAAATCAGCCCAGCATCAGATCAAGTTTATTCCTCGTTTGCAATCTCCAGACCTGGCTATATTGTTCTCAATATTTTCAAGATGGACACACTTGCATATTTTAGGCATGGCCAACTAATGCATACACTGTAAACAGAGACAAATCACTGTACAAGGAATTAGTTTCTGATAATAGGAATAAATATTTATATGGAGTGCTCTCAGGCATTTCTTAAAGAAACATCCTTCTTTGAACCAGCTTCAGCTGTACAAAGTTAACAAAAGTGTAGAAAAACATGCAGGGAAGTTCTCTGCGTCACTGTGCTCTCCTCAAGGAAGATCAGCTCTGACATGCTTGTCTAACCAGGCCTCACAGACCTCTGAGGTGATGGTGCCACACCATCTCCAAGCAATTTTTGCTATCTGTGCCCAGAGAAATTTTTTTCTGTAGTGTAATTTGAATCTTCCTTGTTTCAGTTTGTTCCCTGGCCATGATGGAGTTGAGGAATAGGACATGAAAAAAGGAGCTGCGCAGAAGCTCTAGAAGAACATGATCCCTGTGTTTCACCACCAGGCGTCATTGCTGTGCTTAGGAAAGCTCTGATTTTTATCACTAAGCTCTGTGAAGTTCCGGGTATTGCCATAACTATTGCTTAACAATCCTGAGCAGCTGCTGAACAGCAGAATACAGCCAGAGATCTTTAGACCTGTCTAGTAAAGCATTAGAAAGGCAATAAAGAAGGTATGGTTCAATGAATCTGAAAAGAAAATGTCGGACAACATGAAAGAGATATGGCAGAAAGTCAAACCTTCAGGCACAAACGGGCAAAGCTTTTAGTGGCATGCAGTGGGGAGGTCACAAGAAGATGCCATAAGTAAGCCTGTTGTCTTGTTCCCTCCCACTGAGCCTCAACGCCCCTGGTTATGGGTGGGATATGACAGAGATAACAGATTTCTGAAGTCATGCAGCAATTTCCCAAACACTGCATTACTGCAGGTTAGTGTACTGTCCCCCTGCTTGTCCCTTTCTTGGATTCAGGTCAATTTGTCTGTGATTTGGTTTCTGTCTGTGATTTGGTTGTGGAGCAGTAGTGTTTGATTCTAGACATGACTCTGCAGGAGGGCACCTGAATTTTTTGAGTGGGAAAAAGCCTCTCTGAATACCCCCATCTTAGAGGTTTTGGTCAAGATGGTGACCACTGATGGTGTTTTTTGCAGTGCAAGCCGGCATGCTGCACAGGGGTACAGCTGCTGAGGGGATCCACAATGACCAGTTATTCTGAAAAACCATATCACCACCTGGGCTCAGGGCAGTCTAGGGGCAGTGTGACTGCCAGCTGCAGGAGTGCAGGACGTGGCATTCCTAAAGTCCTTAGAGCTTGAGGATAAGGTCAGGAACATTTGAAGAGTTCCAGCATTTCTTTGACTTAAACAGAACTTTAGATTGCTTGGGCTGTGTTGTAGATCACACTGAAGATCCTGGGTTCACCACACAGTTATTGGTGCTGGTTCATATTATTGTAAAGTATCCATTTACTCTGCAGGAGATTTTAAAATAAGGTTTGAGTAAGCCCATATTCTTCTTGTCATAAGTTACTCTGAAAAGCAGAGATGGATTTCAATGTGACTTCGAATCTAAAGCTGAATAAACTTTGGCCCATCTTTGATATGTGTAGCTTAATTGTCTCTCTCCACGAAGGTGGCTGTGCTAGCTGGGACAACGGCATCTACTACTGACAATCCTAAAGCCAAATAATAAAATGTTTGATTCGTATTCATTCCCTTTTGCTCCATTTTTACTTCAAGTAGTGTAAGATGTGGGTTTTTTTCTTCTTGTTTGCCTTGTCTGACTATTTTCAGAAACCTAAAAGGAAGAAAAGGCATTATTTAAAAAAGGGGTGTTCATACTTGATTCAGTACTCTCCTTAGATATTATTTTTCTCTTCAAAATAATACTTGCTCTAAACTCACAAACTTTCAGAACCACTGTTTAGCTAATTTGCATCTTCCACCTTTGGCTTTTGTTCTTCAGCTTATTAAAATGAATAAGACATTGTCCTATGAGCATATGACTTATTTTCTGTGTGTTCTGGAAAGTTGTTTATATCTGGATGTCTTTGTTTACATTCTTACAAAACTGGATCATCCCGTATGTGTTTAATTCAGCTCCATTGCCTTGACATGCATATTTGTGTAATCTCAGATATGACCCCCAAGCTTTTTGAAGACCTTAATCTGCCTTGCCTGCAAGCTCTGAATCCTACCTGCTGCTCAATTTTATCTCTGCTCTTCAATACAAATGAGCACCTGCAGTATTTTGTGTACCTAATCTTTTGGACAACCTTAAATGTGCAGGTGGAAGAATACAGACAGGTTGGAGCAGTCACAGCTTCTGTACTGTGTAGGGTGAGACTTCAAAGATGTTGTTGGGTTTTTTCCTACCTGCTACTGCCATGTGGATGCCAGAGCTGAATCCTTTGTGTTACCAAGCTCTGAACAAAGGACTCATAAAGAGTAACTTGAAAATTGCTATCACACAGTAGGAAAAAATGCTGAATTTTCAATTTCAACAGAATCACTGTCTGAAAAGAAACATGCATGTACCTTGGTAAGCTTAAAAATTAACAGTGTAGATAAGAGGAAAGTAACCTGATTTTAAAACTGCTTAAGTTTTAGCTAAAGTTAATATGCATTTTATAATCTGTAGGGCAGAGTGTATAGTTGCCACTAAGATCTATGATGCATAACTGCCCTTAAAGCTTTTTTTCTCTAAAGAGTTAAGTCACTTGAGCTGTGGTTACAGTATTCTGTTAAATTGAGCCAGGTTTGGTGCAGAAGAATTAATTTTATGTTAAAAGAAGGCTATTTCTGAAACCCCTCGCTCTCTTACCTAGAGTCAATATCATGCATTGCTTCAGGAAAGCAAGCAGTGCAAGGCTGCTCAGCCCTGGTAGGAGTGAGGAGTAGGAAGCAGGTTGTACTGCCTGTGAAGTGTCAGTAAAGGAGATCCACCTTCCACTACCAGCGCCTTGTAGTCAGAAACTGCAGCTATGGCTACGATCTGCTGAGCATGACCAATGCTTCACGTCATTTGCCCAGGTTGCAGTCCCCAAGTAAAGATGGCCTGGAGCTGCATGAACAGGTCTTTGTCCACTGCTTCTAACTTTTGTGTGCAAGCTCACCAGCCATGAACACCTCCAAAATGTTCTTTCTCTTCTGCCTCTGGCACAACATTTCACTGGAATCTGCTGAGGTTAGTAAATCATTGGAGGGAGAATATTAGTCCATCATGTTCAGTTGGATAAAGTGAGATAAAAAGCTGATAAAGGAATTTTGTATCATATATCCAGAGGAACATAGGATATTTTGAGTGGAATGGACCTGCATCAAAGTCCAACTCCTGGCCCTGCACGGGACAGCCCCAAGAGTCACACCATGTGCCTGAGAGTGTTCTCTAAATGCTTCTTGAACTCTGTCAGGCTTGGTGCTGTGACCACTTCCCTGGGGACCCTGTTCCAGTGCCCAACCACCCTCTGGGTGAAAAACCTTTTCCTAATATCCAACCTAAACCTCCCGTGATGCAGCTTCATGTCATTCCCTCAGGTCCTGTCAGTGCTCACCAGAAAGAAGGGATTTTAATTGCATAAGAAGGAATACAATGTGTAGATAAGCATAAAGAAAAGTTCCCTTCATAGGAACCTGCCCTGAAAGGGGAGAGTATGGATCTAGAGATCAGTTAAGTATCATTTGGCAAGTATTAGAGCAAAGGGTTGAGCCAGTGGGCCTATGCCAGCAAGTCACAAAGGGCAGCACTGTAGATTACCTGTGTGTAAGGGTCATTTTACACTTGGAGCTGCAGCCTCACCCTCACTGTCTTTAGGAGTTGGGCAGAGCAAGGCAAATAAAACAGCTTTTGCAACACAGTTACGTAAGTCGGCTCATGCTTCTCTGGCACCATGTGCAGTCCCTTTTACTGCCACTTTCTTCCTAAAGACCATGCCACCTACTGCTGCGCAGGCTGCAGACAGGATCCACTGTCCAGTGTTCTCAGTTGAAGGCACTCACTCTGGCCGAAGGACATTGTTTCCAGATGGCCTCATCTCCACTCCCTGAAAAAAAAAAAGTCGTGGCTTTGATATGCATATAGCTAAAGAGATGAGGAAAATTTTGAGGGGAACTCAGAAGGATTACAAGGGTATTGTGAGTTTTTGCAGGGAGAAAATTAGAAGGGCCAAAGCCCAAATAGAACTTCATCTGGCTGCTGCCACAGACAACAATAAAAAATGTTTCTATAAATACATTAATGGGAGTAGAGCCCCATCATGCATAATGGTGACTTGGGAAGACAAATGCCATCACTCCAAATGTCCCCACCTTCCTCCTTCTTCCCCCAGTTTATATACTGAACATGATGCCATATGGTCTGGAATATCCCTTTGGTCAGTTTGGGTCACCTATCCTGGCTGTGTCTCCTCCCAGCCTCCAATGCACCTCCAACTTCCTTGCCACCTTGACAGTATGAAAAACAGAAAAGGCCTTGGCTCTGTGTAAGCCCTGCTCAGCAATAACAAAATCACCTCTATATTATCAACACTGTGTTCAGCACAAACCCAAAACACAGTCCCATACCAGCCACTGGGAAGAAAATTAACCCTACCCCAGCCAAAACAAGCACAGAGGTTCAACAAGGCCAAGTGCTGGGTCCTGCTCTTGGGTCACAACCACCCCATGCAGCGCTACAGGCTGGGGGCAGAGTGGCTGGAAAGCGGCCTGGGGGAAAGGGAGCTGGGGGTGCTGTTTGACAGCCGGCTGAACATGAGCCAGCAGTGTGCCCAGGTGGGCAAGAAGGCCAATGGCATCCTGGCCTGTATCAGGAATAGTGCGGCCAGCAGGACCAGTCAGATTATATGCACCATTTTATCTCTTTTTTGTTTGTTTCTGAAGGAAGAATATTGATTTCAGAATGCTGGGCATAATTTGAAAAGAAGTCCACAGCAAAGGCATGCAGTGCTGACCTCCACCCAATCCCTTGCACCAGCATGTTGTGCCAGGAGAGGTTGTGTGGGCATATGAGCAGTGATGGGGCCTGTGCTTGTGGGTGTTGATGGAACCGATGGGTCAGGCACTCACAAATTGAGCAGGGTGTTGTGTCTGGTCAGATACTTGCATTCTGCCCCAGCTGTTCTTGCTGACTTACTGATTTTTGTTTTCCAATCAGCATGATTGGCACGTTGTCCTTGGACACTATGAAGTGAAAACCATTCCAACAGATTAATGAGTATCTGGACTGTAAAACTAAGATTCGGGAGCTGGTACAGCTGCAGCCAGACAATGAGTGTATGTTTCTTAAGAAGCTTGCACAATCACGTTTTAATATGTCAGCTGGACTCTTATGAGTGTCACTAAAGTTCATCAGCAAAGCCTTCATGTTCTCACTGTGTCCCTGTCACTGTGAATTCAAGAGCCACTCCTCCCTTTTCTCTTTGCACATACAGTGCCACTGAGAGTAGTGGGTTTGGAGAGCAACTCCCAGGGAGGTGGAAAGAGGGAAAAAGGTTTCAGCCAGGGCTTTTGCTTTCTTCCTGTGATGCTGAGAGAAACCATAAGAGGGATGCAAAAAAGGGTAGGGAAGAGCGTGACAAAGGAATCAGGAAGACAGAAGCAATATAGAGAGCGAGGTTTCATCAGATAAGTGGTTTATTTTCATTCTAGCACTTTTTCTGATTAAGGGGTGGGACTCTGAGCTGGGAGGCTTGGCTAAAAGATCGGAGCTCCATTTTTCAGGAGCACTTCGTAAGACCAGCTTCCAGTGTGTTGGAGAGGACTCGTGGTGCCAGCAACCCGACTGCTTTGAGGCTGAGTGAATTCTTGGTGGCAAGATTCGAAACAGACACACCAGTCAACATGAGCACAGCAGGAAAAGTAAGCAAAAGTTTGTATAAGAATAGATTCTTTGCTGCAGCTGAGTAATGAATTTTTAAATGCAAATTCTTTGCAGGGACACCGTAAGTCCCGGTGGTACAGCACCAGAGGAGAGTTTAGGATGAAGCTGGTACAGGAGAACTGCCTTTATTTGCAAGCCACTATACTCTCCTAGAAAATGGTTGTTAACTCTTCAAGGCAATAGTTTATTTGAGGCAACATGAGGTAACAGCACCAGAACAAGAATAACTTTCTCTCTGGGTTAGCACACTATTTTTAATCTCTGATTGGATAGCTTAAAATATGAGAGAATGTACTAAGTGTTCAGATCAATGTATTTATCTGCTCTATCAGTTTCCATTCTGAGATCCCCCAGTGGTTTAAACTATTTTTATCTTATTTATGATTCATATCAGCTTGTTTTCTAAAACAAGGACATAGCTAATATGTGTTAAATTATGGGGTGTAATTGTGCTGACATTAGGACAGTCATTAAATTTGAATATGTATATAACAAGTCTCAAACTTAAGTTAATGAAGACCAAAAGTAAATTTCACATGCAATTCAGTACTGAGCTGGGACTGAAATGAGTAGGTACATCTTTGCTAGAAAATATGTGATGAGAGAGATGTAGGTTAATACCAGTACCCATTGCTTCTTGCACTACTGCCGAGGTGCTAACATACACCCAGACCTGCAAGAGAGTTTGATGGACAAGGAACCTAGAAATAGAAAACAACTGAAAGCACATACCTTGCTGTAATGTGCCTTAAGAAAGTACCAGGATCATTTGCTGTTACTGCCGGCTGTCTTCTCTATTCTAAAACCAAATAAAACAAGAGGAAGGCAAACAAACAAAAAAAGCCCCCCAAAAAACGCTCTCTTTAACTCTGAATTACTGCAAATGCAAAATTAATTGTAGCTCACTTGTAGATAGATTCACCACGTTCAGTCCTCTATCCAGCCTTGGACTGAGCATAGTAAGTGAAGTGTTGTAACGTAACTTAACTGCCTTGATTTCACCATGTTTATCTTGGAATGATGTGGGAGCTACCATGCATTTTATGTAACCAAGCAGCATAATCCTCATGCCCTGTAAAAGGGTGTGTTTGTGCGCCTACCCTCCCCCACCACAGTAACTTGCAGGGCTGGTAGAACACACAGAAAAAAAATTGACTCCAGCCAGTGCTTGTCTTGACAGATGAAGTGGGTGATAGCGTGCTGGTGGTGCATCTGTGGGATTCTGTCATAATCCGTAAACGTTCTCAGGGACGCAACCACCAGAACAATACACAGTTAACCAATGTCTTACAGGAGAGATTTGTTTGTTCTCAGCAATCAACAGTTGTTGGCTACCTTTGTTCTAGGAAACATTACATGTTCTTTGCATGTGCAAGTCATAAAATCATCATCGTGCTATGTGTGATAAAATATAAATACATAAACCACCATTTTTTTGGTTTTTTTAAGAAGTTTCCTGGAAAATGTGGCCCTTTAAAATGTGATCTTTGGTTCACTTGTGAATATTTTATTAGTCATGCATTTGACACATGAAATGCTACATTTAGTGTAAATGTCTCTTGAGGCAGTTTTTTCCAAAGCATTGTGCCCATCCCTCTTTGTGTCTAGCTGCTGATAGTGTGCTACTTTATTTTATATGTTTAGTATTTCCTAGTAATTATTTCCTTTGTTACCAGTTTACAGTTCATGGATAATTAGACATTATTTCTACTTCTACTTCAAAAGCTTTGATACTAAAAATTTGTTTGTTTGTTTGTTTTCCCCTGTGAATTTTGCAGCACACTGGAGTTAAGTTGGCCCAGTGATGCAGGATACTCAAGCATGTGCTAAACTTCCTTCATCATGGACTCAATTCCCCCCCATTTCCCTCTCAAGATAATGCCTCCCGAACACTTGCAGTCAGTAGACTTAATACAGTGACTGAGGATACTGTGTCATTCATAAGGTTGTCACAGAAAATCATATTCCAGGACCTGGGGTTGTTTAAAGATCTGGGATGGGCTGAGACCACCAAGGAAGGACAGGAATAGATACAGGGACAGAGAGGCCGCGCTGCTTTTGAATACACAGGGATTGAGACTGCAGGGAGGAAACCTTCTGTTTGAAAGCCTGGGAGTGAACAATGCTCCTCTCTCTTCTGAGTGTATTTTTCTCTCAGTGGCAGATGGTCAGAGGAACCCTAAGAGCTGTCAGTACCTGGACAAAACCTGAAGAACTAATGGACAAACTTTAACCTAACAGACAGGGGGAAAGAAAAAAGCTGTCTTGGGTAGTAACCCCATCTGAGTTAAATGTCCCTTCTGAGAAGGAAGGTACCTAAGCATGGATAATATTGTGCTGAAAGTACTGTTCAAGATTACCTCTGCGTACTGCTGCACCATTTAGCATAGGTGTCCTTTCAGCCATCACCTGATGGCTGAATTTGGGCTCTACTAAAACATTTATAAACCTGTATTAGGCTCCGAATTTCATTTTTAGCAACTTTGTCAGTTCCCAACACAGGCAGTTCTAGGCAGCATAGACTTTATCACTACCTGATACATGGCATCATTTAGTGTGCCATCTCCAAGAAGACACAAATATACACAAATAATCCCCGATATGGCAAAAAAAAAAATCCTCCAAGGAAGTTAGAGAAGGACCAATGAGTATGAACAAGGTATCCAGTTATCCTGGAGACTATTATACATGCTGCTGAAAACTTGATGTGACAGAAATATGAGCAAAGTCAGACATGATCTTGGTGGAGGAAAAACATGGGCTTACACTGTCCTTTGGTGTTGGGTCTTTTGCTATGTATTGTTTGGGGTTTTTCCTGTAGTTTTCCCTCTCTTCACCACAGATATGAGCAGGATTTTCATGCACCGAAATGTAAGAATCTGTCTCTGTGGTGACTTGAAAATGCAAGTGCCATTCCTGTTTTCTTTGCTCTGTTTGCAGGTTATTAAATGCAAAGCAGCAGTACTGTGGGAAGCCAATAAACCATTTAGTATTGAGGAAGTGGAAGTGGCCCCACCAAAAGAACATGAAGTTCGCATAAAGGTACTAAAAATAAAATTTAAAACAACTCTTATGACTTGCATTCTATCTTGCTTTTTATCAGAATTATTTTTATAGATTTTTAAGATCCAGTCAGAAAACATTCTACTAGAGAGCAGTTACTTATCAGTGAGCTCCTACAGAACATGTTTAAAGTCCTAAATTTGATAATGAGTTTCTTAAAAAAAAAAAAAGTTTTCACGGTTGGCTTTTTTGTTTACAGACGCTTGTTTTTCAAATAAGCTGAAAAAATTACAGTACAAGGCAAAAAATCAGAATCTCCTGTAGAGTGGAGCAAGAAATTTTCTCTTACTTTGTTTGAATCTGTGCTAGGAAATAGCCTAGTAGGGCTAGGAGCTTTCTTTTTACCTGGATATTGATCTCAGTGGAATTCAGCAGCAGTTTTAAGTTTTCATTTTAGAGCAGTTTCAAGTGTTACAGAAGTGAGAAAACCCTTTCCTGGGGTTGACGACTCCATTTGTCAGAATAAAAGTTGTAAATACATACCTGAATGTTTCAAAAGAAATACTGCTGCTTTAGCTGCAAGAAAAGGCAAAACATGATATAAAATACTATGTGTAGCCTAGATTTTTGTATATGTAGCATATACAAATATTTTAAATATATAAATAATATGTAATAATTATTATGTAATTCTCTATATCATTTTATAATACATAATTTATATAACATCTATTTTATTATATACTGTCATATAATCTAAATGTAACAAATCTAAAATATACACAATATTTCTATGTTTATAAATATGTAGTGGTTAATTTACATAATTTTGTAATATTTTTGTAATATTACAAACTTTTCTTTTTATGTATTTATATATAAACATTAGGAATAATTTAATTTATTCTGTTCTTCCTATATAATTGTATTACTAGAACATTGGTTCTGGCAGATAGTCAATGTGACTACCTATACAGCTCAGTACTGCAGAGAAAACATTCCAAAAGGAGCCTTGCTCTGTAGATTAAAGACTAATACAAACCATGAAAATCTTGAATCACACAACCAAAACTGTGTTACCTGTAGATTTATTGTATACATATTGGATTTTGGAGGAAAGCAAGTGACTTCTCCAAATGTAAGATATCATTTCACTTCCACATATGACGTGACATAGTTAAATGCTGAAATATTGTTGTCTTTGCTGTAAATCAGATCATAGCCACAGGGATCTGTCGCTCTGATGACCACGTGATAACTGGTGCACTGGTTAGTCCTTTTCCAATAATTCTTGGGCATGAAGCAGCTGGTGTTGTGGAGAGTGTTGGGCAGGGAGTGACTTCGTTCAAACCAGGTATGGAGCAGCTACTGAACACAAACCCTGTACTGAGTTTCCTGACTCCTCTTTGAACCAAATATTATTACATTTGTGTGTATTTGTATTGCTGAGGAAAATATTCCAACTTCGATTCTTTTCAAGGATACCTTTATAAGACACTACCTGTGTTTAGGTCTTTCTGTATTCCCAATCTTGATTCATTTTCTGATTTTCTATTCAGTGTCTTTTGGTTTTGGGAAAAACATCTGCAGCTTGCTTTCCACCTACAGAGCGGTTTTCCTGTCATGGGACTAAGAACATAGATTCTCTGCTGTTAGTCATAGGAAATCAGGTATTAGCTGCAGATTCTTTGAACACAGTTTATACAGCTAATCTCTCTCAAGAATAAGGCAAAGCAAAGCACTAGACAACATGTCAAAGTACCTTCTTTTAATTCTCCTAACAGCTAAATAATCCATTGACTTCAGTAAACCAGGACTTGGGTCTGTGTGTTCAATTACTTCACTTGGAAAATATCAGGGCACAACTGGAGTGCCCATCCTACTGCAGGCTTTGCATGCGGGCAGCGCCAGTGCAGGTGAGCCAGCACTGCTCCCTGAGGGCTGCATTGCTCTGAGGACACTCCTCTGGACCAGCTGCTCCTTTCACTATGTTCTCCTTGAGCAACAATGCGTAGATGGTCAGTGAAAGATGCCAGTTTTCCTCCAACTGCTGCAAGATGAGATGGGATTTCTGTATGCTTTTATAGGACTTAACAAATTCTAACAAGGGGTAAATTATAAAGAGAAAAATATGCAGTGAAAAAAATCTGCATAGAAATGCTCAATTTCCAGGCAGCTTGGTTATGATACCTGAGTAATTCACTTTTAGCGCCTCCGTACTTCCTGTATCTTTGTCCATACCGATGAGTAAGAAGTCTGTCCAAAGCAGATTGATATGTATAAGAAAAAATTTTATTACAGATTTTTGCTTTAACTCCAAACAAATATGCATATTGCAAATTTCGGTGGTAGCTCTAACTGCTTTTTCTCTTATGTCTGGGTTCATAAATCACTCTGGTGTCTCATTCTTGCTGCCCCGTGTTTCCAGGTGAGATGAAGCAGCAGGCCTGAACACACATGTGCACCAAATCACATTTTTCAGATGTTGCTTAATTTACACCTTCAAGTTCTAAAAAAGGCTCCAGGATGTGCAAAGTTTCTTTAGGAGAATGATTACTAAGCCCATGTCACATTTCTAAGTTAACTGAGGGTTGGGGTAGTGGCAGCATTTCATGTTCTGTAGGCATTTTCCATTTTTAGTGGAAATAAAAAAATTCCCTGGACTTTCAATGTGTCAAGGATTAGCCAAATTTTAAAAATGACAAATCATAAATTGATCTGTATTAGGAAATGCCTGTTTAGAGCTTATTAGGGATTTACCATACATCATTCCTGCGGAAATTGCACAGGAGCAAAAAATTGCACTGGGGAGCTATGTTCTACTTTGCTAATCATGTAATTGTGCTAGAGAAGTAGAGATGTTGGCTTAGTTTGTCTATGTTACTGCTTCTCTGACAAATATTTTGCCTACCTTTACTCCAATGCAACAGTAATAGGACTGCTAATAGCAAAGAGGCTCAAGATGACTGAAAGTTAAGGCTTAATTCCTCATTCTTTGTATGCCCAGTTTACAGCCCTGTTATCTTGGCCCTGCAGTCTAGGCAATGTCAATTTTTATTTCAGTTTCTTTATTTGTGTATTACTATTTTCCTTTTACACAGAAGATGCAATAAACTGCTGAATAAGTAGTTCAGGAATATCAGTAGCAAACATGGGTTTATGACATAGACTCAGTTCTATGGAAAGACACCAGGAATTTTGCATATCAAAATTAATTGTCATAACTTTGCCCTAATGATGTCCTTTATCTTCCAAGGGCAGCCAAAGGAAATAAAACCATCACTGTACTCCTAGTGAACATTTGCCTGGCAATTAAATACACTTGCTTCACGTTTCTACCTGCATGCTTCTTGTTTGCCTTTTCTAATCCTCTGTCATTACTGTTTTATTTCTAGGAGACAAGGTTATTCCACTCTTTATTCCACAGTGCGGGGAGTGCAAGAGTTGCTTAGGCACCAAGGGTAACCTGTGCAGTAAAAATGAGTGAGTTTTCCTTGGTTACTTACAACCCTAATTTGATTTTTCTTGATACAAAACTGATTACACACAACAGATTTCACTTGCCATTATTTCTGGTTATCTTTCAAACAGCCTTGCTTTGGGTAGAGGATTAATGCCTGATGGCACCACTAGATTCACCTGCAAAGGAAAAGCAGTTCACCATTTTCTTGGTACAAGTACCTTCACTGAGTACACAGTAGTGCATGAATCTGCTGTGGCCAAAATCGATTCTGCCGCTCCTCTGGAAAAAGTTTGTCTAATTGGCTGTGGATTTTCAACTGGTTATGGGGCTGCTCTGCAGACTGCCAAGGTAAGTATTGCGGTGGGTGTTTCTGATACCTCATGGGGTCTGTTCAGGATTGTGTGGCCTGCAAGTGGGTCATCAGCATGGCAGCCAGGAGGTATAGGCTCTGCTTACATCACATCAGGGTGGAAAGAAGATGCTAGTTCTTTGCTTACTTCAGATTCTCTGTCTCTAAGGTACTCAGAAGTCTTCAATTCAAAATTCAGTAAAAATCCTTATTACCATTTCTTAAGTTTTCCCTCATAGCTTTATCACCCCTATAAAATGTTACAACAGAGCTTTTTTGTTTTATTGTAGCTGAAGTCTAGGAATTCATAGAAGGCTATATATGTAACACTCATAATTCATAGCAATACATGAATGGCAGCTGGCACTGACTCCAGTGGAGTGACACTATAGATCTTAACACCACTGGAATATAAAGCATCATTAAAAAAAAAAAAAAAGGTGTGTCTAAGCTTGAAGCTGAGACATATAATGAAAACTTGGTCTCAGAAATGTATTTTAGGGATAATTTCTCTTAGCCATATGTAGGTTTGTAACAGTATAGCTGGCTACTGCACTAGTAGGTATGCATTTGCAAATTCCTCCTCTAATCTCTAGATTAAAAAAGTGTCTTAAGTGAAATCATGTTAATAATGAGAAAATGCATTGTACTTTTCCTAGACTGTAACAGTATTCCATATTTACATGGTTATTATAGGTGGAACCAGGCTCCACCTGTGCTGTCTTTGGCCTTGGAGGAGTTGGCCTCTCCGTTATCATAGGCTGCAAGGTGGCTGGAGCTTCCCGCATCATTGCCGTGGATATCAATAGTGACAAGTTTGCCAAGGCCAGAGAGCTGGGAGCCACTGACTGTGTCAACCCTAAAGATTTCCAGAAGCCCATTCATGAAGTGTTGATCGAAATGACTGGCCAGGGTGTGGATTACTCCTTCGAGGTCATCGGCCGCACGGATACCATGGTAATGCAACCACAGGGTGTGGCCAAATGAGGCACTAGATTGTTAGCACTCTCTTTACCAACCCACTGAGCACCAAGGATGAGGAGCTGAGAGCCACTGGCAAAGTAGCAAGCTAACCTGTCAAGTCTGCCACTGAGATGCAGGGACAGAAGCATGCTCAGAAACTTAGGAAAGGGAACTTCATTGTAGTGCCCTGGCCTAATCAGAGTGGCTAAATTTCACATAGCCCATTATCTGCTTTCCAACTGTGCCTTATCACTAATGACTGAGACAAACTGGGGAGGGAAGGAGAACAAAGCTAGAAATACCTAACAGCAGATACAATGGTGTGAGCAGATACAATGGAAATTTTTTTATGTGGTCCCAGTTACAAAAAATGAATTGCAAGTAGAACCCTGGGAGGAGGAGGAGTTCAAACTTTCGTGCCCCAGTGGCAAATCTTTTATGACTCTGGGTGTGCCTCTGTTTCCAACACAGACCGCAGCCTTGGCCTGTTGCCAGTATAACTACGGAGTCAGTGTGATTGTGGGAGTGCCCCCTGCAGCACAAAAAATCACTTTTGATCCCATGCTCCTCTTCACTGGTCGCAGCTGGAAAGGCTCTGTCTTTGGAGGTAAGGACTTGGAAAGTTGTGGTTTAATTGGCTTGGGAAACTTGTAAGTCATCTTGGATGAAATAGGGTATGTCAAATTCATTGCTTAGATTTTCTTAATGGAAGTAATATTGATAGCTGTTCTGCTGACAAAGTATATAAGGAATTAATTATGGGAACTCTTAGTTTACGCCAAGAGAAGGAGGGAGAAAAACAAAAAGGAGGAAGAAAGGGAAGAGAAGAAGAGAGAGAGAAAGGAGGAGATAAAATGACAGAAAATAGAGGAAAAGATAGAGGAAATAAGAAAGAAAATAAGAGGAGGAAATGAGAAAAAAGAAAGGGAGAGAGAAAGGTAGAACAAAGAAAAGGTGGGGAGGGAAAGGAGGAGAAGAGAAAAATAAAGCAGAGGAAATGAGATAAGGAAAGATAGGAGAAGGACAAAGGGAGAGAAAAGAGAAAATGATAAAAAGATAAAGCGGGGAAGAGAGGAGAGAGGGAGTGGGACAAAAAGAGCCACAGCAAAAAAAAAAAAAAGAGAACTAGAGGGAGAGAAAGAGAGGGAGAGAGACAGTGGGAGAAATGGAGACTCAGGACCATAAAGGACATCAGGGGTCATACCAGCTGATTTCCACATATGTCAGACCCCAGCTCAGCCCCTGGACAGCTGCTGACAGTTCCTTCCAGTTCTTTCTCTTTTTGGAGCTCTCCCAGCAGAGTCCCACACGCAGCATATCCTAGCTCACTCAACACAAAGCTGAAGGCCACAGAAAACTTGTTTCCAACAACAGGTTTTCGCACTCACAACCAGTTTGATGTATTCAACAGGCACCTGAATAAAATAGCAGAGACAAATTAGATTCCTCTGGAAGGGCATCCTACTGCTTGTGACAGCTTTATCTAATAGTGCTTGTAAGAAAAAAGATACACATCCACCAGCCACCCCCAATTCTGACCAGACAATCAAGTTTCCACTTAGCAGATTACCAATGGGTGTCAGTATTATGGTTTTTGTATGAAATGGGATTAAGTTGAAACAGTATTTGATGTGGGGGAAAGTTTGGATTCTGTAAAGATTCAAATACTTACTGGTCTTCTACCAGTAAAGCACTTACTGGGTTTGTCACATGTGGAATAGCTGCACTTCATCCCATGTTTCCTGCTGGCACCCTCTTACAAAGGTAAAGACATGCTGCAATATTTCATCCTGTTACTCTGCTATAGCAAGTTTATCTAACATTTAAGCTGCTGTGGGTTTTATCTATTTTCACAAGCATTTAATGTTGCATTATCCATTGTCTCTGGGGTTTTTTTCAGGCTGGAAGAGTAAAGATTCAGTCCCTAAACTGGTTGCTGACTACATGAATAAAAAATTTGTTCTGGATCCATTAATAACCCACACACTTCCTTTCACAAAAATCAATGAAGGATTTGATCTGCTGAGGACAGGGAAGAGGTAAACATTGTTTCATTGTAAATGTGCATGCAGTTCAGCACAGTAAAGATTCTGTATAAATAGCTTAAAGGAGCTGTACAGTAAGACAGAGCCTGACTTCACAGCAGAGAATGGGTAAAGGCAGCCAACTATGCCCCTTAATCTCTCCCAGTGTGTGCCCAGGTGTTGCATCTGTGACAATAAAGCCAGCAAACCTTCAGCTTTTGAAATGCAGTGGGCCCTGGCCTTCCTTTCAGGGGTGAGAGTGAGAAAAGACAACGCAAATGAGGAAGTCTTTGCCCACTACTCATTGGAAAAGAGCACACAGCCAAGGGAGCATGGGAGTGCCAAGCTGCAGAGTGCCAGGGGTTAGCTACGTCTCATTCCAAGAAACATTTCAGGATGAGGAGCAGGAACACAGTGAAAGCCTATGTTTATTGTAAGAGCAACTTACCATTCCTCTTGTGTGTTATGTAACAGCCCCAGTGCAATTGGTTCTGAAGTCTCTGGGTACTCTACCTTGAACTTCAGAGCTTTTCAAAAAGGAAAGTGTTTGCTGTATGTATACATTACAAACTCAGAATTTAGCTCTTGTGCATTCCTCAAATATTGTGAAAGTTCAGCTCACACTCTGCTTTCATAGGGTATTGAAATTGGAAATATTTTTTGCCAAAGACATTTGCCAAGGTTCATCGTGGAAATTCAAAATTGTCCTTGGCAGAAATAGGAAGTACTTTTGTATATCTTAGTGTGTGAGGACTACCCTTTTTTCAATTCTAGGTGTTTATAACTTACACAGTCTGGAGAATTACCTTCATGTTTTCTTTTAATCGTTGTTTTCTAGCAGTTATTTTAGGTGTTACTTGCTCTGAATAGAAAAAGCGTGTAACAGAAGAATTTAAACCCCTGAGGTTTGTTCTCAGGCTTTAATGATGCAGCACACACTTCATTTTATGATTGTCCTTATTTTAGATGTATTATAAATGTTAGTTTTAGTTTTTAGAGTAACAAATGGGAAAGTGGTGAGGACAGAGATGCCATCAGCTTTGCTAGAATACTGACAGTCAACCTGAAGACAGAGGCACATTGCAGCTGATCATTTTTACTGAGTGAAATACTTCAGTGTTTCAGCACAGAATAAGGTTGTACCAGTTAGAGGTTACCCTTACAGCCATTTGTAATTGGAAAAATGGATCTAAGCCCCCCTCCCAAGAAGTTGCCAGGCTATAGTTGGTAATTAAATACCGGGAGCCCTGGGCCTCACCAGTGAAGGCTTTGCAGTCTTACCTGAATTTTGTTCTCTGCAACCAGGTTTGCACATCTGCTCTGTCATTTTGCTGCAAGCTGGGAGGGGGGGCAGGCAGGGGGGGAATACCCTGGTTGACAGCAGTAGCCTAGATTATCAGAGAAAACAGCAGTGTTCTGCTGATGTTAGCCCAGGGCTTTTCTACAGTTATTAACTTGTCATTTTATATTGCAGTATTCGCAGCGTCCTGATGTTTTAGGATTCTCTAATGTTAAGCAGCAGATGGCTCAGCACCAGTACAAACTTTACCATCCTCCAATACAACTGATATGAAATACAAACCAAGACATTCCTGAAAGGTCTACCACCACCATCATCGAATAAAAGGATCAAGCTCAAACTCCACACTTCAAGAACAACATTTATAAATGAAATAATCTTTTTCTTTCTACCTCTTTCTCCTCATTCTTGTTTTAAATCCTCTACATTGTGCTGTAATTTTTTAATAGCCAGTTATGAGTTACAGAAGTTGCTGCTGCCACAGGTGTTATAAAAATTTTGAATTTTTTAAATTACTTATAATATGCAATCTTTTAATGAAACAAAAATGAAGAAAGCAGGGCTTCCGTAACACCGCAAGCCTAAGAGACTTGTGCATGCAGTTCAGTACGGTAAAACAGTTAGAACTATGTATCCACCCTAAATGACTTGAGCTTTCCAGTGCCTGAAAGGCAAGGAAATTACTGCAGAAATTAAAATTTATGGTGACCATGTGTTCGAGTTAATAATTTCAATAAATGATATTTAAGTAAATCACAGACAGGTACTGAAGAATGTCTCATCACTGGATATTTTAGCAAATTAACACTTCCAGACATCTTATGTAAAACTGCTGTGGTGGTGTTCTGTGTTGTGGTTTGTCTTTGGTGGTTTTTGTTGTTTTTTTTTTCTTTACCTTTGTGCCTCTTTCTTGGGGTTGTTTTAGTTGTTGATCAGTATGGTTTTAGATCTTTGGCCAGTTTATACAAGTGCATCTGATGTTTGGGAAACAATGTGAAGAAATATGAATGTGCATCAAATATTGATTTTTGTTTCCATTACATAAAGGGGAGGTTTCTTAACCTCTTAAGTGTGAATACAGAGTAAAGGGGAAAAAGCAGGTGACTGGTAACAGTTTGCAACAACTCAAAACATAAAGCATCTTGCTGCTTTCTGCATTTGTAATGTGGAAACAGGAATAGAGGCTATTTCTATCTTGGCAAATATGGTCAGCATTGACTTATCTTTTGAAAGGACTAATCAGAGCTTGCAGGCACTCATTCACATGCATGGCAGCTGGGTAGGAGTGTCTGTGAAGTAAGGGGACTCTGTGCTACTGATGAGTTACTTTTTTGTGTCAGTAAAAAGACTCTTTGAGCTGCCCAGCTAGTTTAATGATTTGAGGACAAGTTTACCGAGATTACACTTTAACAGAAGAAGATCCTTAAACATGTGTATAAACTAAATTTACATAATTAAGACCTAAACTTCAGTCTTTAGAGTAGAAGACGGAAAAAATAGAGCCAGAGAATAAATTACAACAAATCTCATTTCTGTGCTCTTCAGGATGATGCAAAGCCCATTTTTGTTGTTGCCTAGCATAGTAAACACCTCCTGTTAGTTTCTTTACTAGGATAGTTGCTAGTGTCCAAAACAATAAACCATTCTCCTTAGGGACATTCTATAAGGCAGCCATCTAGTTCTGTCTCCACATGGAGGAATGAAGTGTCTTCTGACTGGAGAACAACAAAAAGTTCATAGTTACTTCCCTAGAGTATTATGCCCTGCAGATCCTCATCAACACTCAGCTGAAGATCAGTTTGTTTGTGTGATTGTACAGCGTGGACAGAAGGTTTCTGGCAGATCTTCCTAATGGCTCTCTGGCTCTGAGGTACTCCAGGTGGGTTCAGGGCAACATATAGCAACTCTGTGTGAGCCTCCATTTAGGAGCTTTCCTGGGAGCAAGTAGAGACCACAGTCCCCATCGGAGCACCAGATGTCCACTAGCACATGATGACACTACAAAAAATCCACAAAAGAACATGACAAACCCAGTAATTTCCCAAGAAACAAACTCTCCATCTGACAAAGCACAAATGGCGTTTCCTCAGACCTTAAACTATGCCAGTGTTTACTGAACATCACTCGGCTTCGCACACAGCTGAGCACTCCCATGTTTCTGCTCTCCCACCACATCCCACCCGCCCAGCCACTCCCCCTGGAAACAGCACAGGACAGTTGTGCAACTCCAGCAGCACATGCTGCAGCGTGCAGAGACATGCACTGTGCAGCTCTGTTTTTACATGCTTGTGAGATCAGCCTCCCTGACAGTGCATCATGGCCCAATGATCATTCCCACACAGCATAATCCCCTTTGCTGCTTCCAGGTTATCAGATAGAGAGCATTGATCCCAGCAATAAAAATATCTGTGCTACACAGATACCTGGGAGACAACAAGCCTGTGTTTTGTTCAAGGGTTGTAACATCTCTGGGCAAATGAAAAAAATTTTTCTCTTACAGATACATAAATCATAAGTCATGACAGATTTATTTATTTTTTTAATGCAGCAGGCAGACCAGGCTGAATATTGAGCATCTTAAAAACTTCATTCTAAAACTCTTTATTCCTGGGAAATCATACATCACCAGTGTTCATGGTCTGATTGAAGCTACAAAAAGTGTGAAAACAATGTATGAAAAAGTAGAAATTTCATGGGAAAAACTGGTTCACCTGAAATACAGATCAAAATGATCCACAAGTGCATGTTGGCTCCAGTGCCAACTGCTCATCTCCAAGACAGGAGCATGGCAACAGCTGGCCATCACCACCTAGAGGTTGGGCTTGACCAGCAGTGCCAAGAAGCAATTCCATGTGGCTGGAACCGCTGGCACACCACAGGGCCACCATGCTCTGTGCAAGAGCTCAGCCAGCTGCTGGGGCACAGTAGTGCTGCTGGGCGGCATCGGTGAAGCTGCAGATGGGTTCAGGGAACTTGAGACTTGGGGGCTCAACCTGCCAACACCAGGTGCTGCAACTGCTGCTGACCTTCCCCCTCAGCCCATGAAGCAGGGTTGGGACACATGGTAGCAAGCGCCAATGCAAACCTCTGTGTGCAGTACCCTGAACACAGAAACGTGGGACTGACATCTTCCCAAATGCAGAAGCAGTTCCCAAACACATATGCTGCTCCTCTCAGCCTGGTTCTCCAACAAGCTCTTACTCATCCATTCTCCTATAAATCACGTTGTCCAATGCCTCAGCAGGAAACAGCTCTGTGGGAACCCAGAGAGCTTGGGGAGAGTGAGCCCACTCACAGATTGGGTTACATATCAGTGAAGGAAATGTGTCCTTGGAAAAAGTCCCTTCCTGAGACACTACTCAGGTGAAAACAGCTGCAATACCACAGATAGTAAAGCTTCAATCCAGAAGGACATGTGTGTTTGTACATCACACCATGTTTTCATTACCTTTTGTTTTTTCTTCTTTTTTTTCTTTGAATTTTTAATCCTTTAGTAAATACCTTGGTGTGAACGTCCACCAGGTCAAACGCTCTGCCTTGGCAATCCAGAGGTACTGAGGAAGCCCCAGCAGTGCTGCAAATCTCCTCCCTCCACACCTGCCAGAAAACAACTGGAGGGAAAAAAAATCTTCCTATGCTCTGGACGCCCTTCAGGCAGGGAGAGCAGGGAGTGGCCCAAGGGCAGAGTCACTGATAAAAGCCACCCTGGAGGACTTCTGACCCCATCCAGCTATCCAGCTCCCTCCCTCAGCACTCCCTGTGCTCCTCAGCGTCCAGCATCCGACACAGATTAACCACAGCTCTCTGCTCTCCAGCGACGGTGCCACGCCGAGAGTGCTCCAGTTCCACAGCTGGGAGACTTCACAACACAGAACTTCAGCCAGACAGGCAGCAGCTTCCCTCCAGCCTGATACAGCAACGGGAACGCCTCTGCTAAGACCACATGGCCACTTCGGGAAAAGTAAGGACAATGCCTTTTCCATCTTCCTTTCCAAGCTGCCCTGCTCTTGGGGGAATACTCTGCAAATGGCTCAGCCTGTGCACTGCTACTGCATGCCCTCTCTCCTCCCACCTTACTCCCCCAGCTCTTCCAAACCCCTTTGAATTACACGAG